CTTCTGTTCTATTCTATTCTTCTATTGTATTCTTCTATTCTGTTCTAAATCAGGTCAAAGTTTTACGATTTGTGGGGAACTGAATGAATAATTTTCTCATTAAAGAATAAAATCTTTTGACAGTTTTTCTAACAAACTGTTTCTTGTATCTTTTTTCTTGAAGTTTTCAGTGTTTCATATATTTCATCTCTTTACTCATCATTCTATCAGCAGCTCGTTGCAGCTCAGTTTAAACCATGTTTCCTGCAGACTGATGGGGAAGAGTCAGTTGAAATGATCCAGCTGCCTGCAGACCACTGATTTACAGACTTTTAAAGGACTTRGTGTTGTTTGTCTGCAGCCTGAACCAAGTGAAGAACAGCTACAGATCTGTGAGTCAGTCTGTGGGTTTGTGAGCGCGGGGGCGCGTGGAGCAAACTGTGGCTCAGCTGCTCTCCGCACAGACTGGGGGGTCCAGATCCAGATCCAGCTCCGCCTCAGAACTCCGGACTCGTGCAGCAGGAGGTGTTGCAGTCCTCCTGCAGGACGCACTGCCGCGCGCTGACTGCAGCATCCAGATACCCCCCACCCCGTCCCACCGCTGATGATGCTGCTGCTGCTGATGCTGCTGCAGCTGATGATGATGATGATGATGATGATGATGATGATGATGATGATGAAGATGGTGGTGGGCATCCCTCCTGCTACAGCAGAGACTCCGCGCTGAGCTTCTCTTCTCTGCTGGAGAATCAAAGTTGTCACAATGGAGACTTCCGGCGGTGAAGCTGTGGACTCTTTGGACAGAAGTGAGGACAGAGACGTCTTCTTTGATCTGGATCATCTCCCGCCACTGCTGGAGGATGAGGTGAGGATGATGATGATGATGATGATGATGATGATGATGATGATGATGATGATGATTTAAAATAAGTTCAGACAGGTCTACCTGAACACAGTCCGTCCTGTAAAACAGGATCTGTTGGATCTAGTCCCACTTTTCCTCCTCAGACTTTCTTCAGTCTGGAATTCTTTCAGCTCCTTTTAGCTGTTTTCAGCTTTTAGACATCAAAACGTTCAGGGCATTAGCTACATGCTAGCAGTTTGGGTTTTGTCATTTATACACTTGAGCTAAAATTGAACTTTATTTAGCTTCTTATAGAAAAAAATGTATTTAAATCTTTGACCAACTTTGTGCTTTTTAAAAGCAAACTTGATTCATTTATTCAGCTTTTAGCTTCTGTTTTGCCAGTGTTAGCTTTTAGCTACTGCTGTTAGTGTTAGTATTTAGCTACTGTTGTTAGTGGTAGATTTTAGTTAGTGTTAGCTTTTAGCTACTGTTGTTAGTGTTAGCTTTTAGCTACTGTTGCTAATGTTAGCATTTAGCTACTGTTGTTAGTGGTAGATTTTAGTTAGTGTTAGCTTTTAGCTACTGTTGTTAGTGTTAGCTTTTAGTTACTGTTAGTGTTGGTTTTTAGCTACTGTTTTTAGTGTTAGATTTTAATTACTGTTGTTAGTGTTAGCTTTTAGCTACTGTTGCTAATGTTAGCATTTAGCTAATGTTGTTAGTGTTAGCTTTTAGCTACTTTTGTTAGTGTTAGCATCTAGCTACTCTTGTTAGTGTTAGATTTTATTTACTGCTGTTAGTGTTAGCGTTTAGCTACTGTTGCTAATGTTAGTGTTTAGCTACTGTTGTTAGTGTTAGATTTCAGTTACTTTTAGTGTTAGCTTTTAGCTACTGTTGTTAGTGTCCATTTGTCCTCCTACAATGCTGTTATTGCAAGTATGACTCCGCCCCCTGTGAGCAAAAGGTGTGAACCAGGGCCCCAATGATAGTCAGGTGATGGGTCACATGACCCTCTATGAACAAAAGAGCCAATCAAACCTATTGTTAGTCAATGGTCCTCTTTTGCATGTGACTAACCTGTTTGTCCATGTGGAGGCGGAGCTT